TGATGAACAGTTTTTAGCGGAAACTGAAGCTTTTAGTTTCTCAGACTCTGCTTTTGATGATTATTAGGTTTTGTTTGTTTAAAACAGTTGTTTTGTTTTGGGGAATATAACCGGTACGGGTACTCAGTTATTGGTTTTGTTTTATGTTTTGTTTTAAGTATCGCTTTGATACTTGGTTTGTTTTAAGTATCGTTTGATACTTGGTTTTGTTTTATGTTTTGTTTTAAGTATCGCTTTGATACTTATTTAGTTTCACCAAAGTGTATCAATTGATACCTTTGATTAGTTTCGTTCATACTAGACATGAACAGATTTGTGTATTTAAAGACCGCCTGTTTCTACAATAGAAAAGGCAGACTTCAACAGACAGTATTTCAATATACTTGGTTGAACGGTTACTTCTTTGTTCCTCAGTACACCCTCGAAGCCTCCTTTTGTTCTCAGCTCTCGCCTCCTCTCTGGAAGAGCAGGCCACCTGCCAACTATCGTATTCATTACCGATAACGTGATTAGCACCTTGCAAACACGTTACAGTATTGGTTAATCATAGTAGGCATACTGAAACTGGTTTCTCCATTCTTCTTCCTCTAGAGTATTTAATTAAATCCACTCTTCCTCCATCCTGCAATGCTCTCCTCTTAAGCGTATTGTCCCATAAGAGTGAGACTCGAAGCCAGTGGAGTACTGATAGCCTCCGCACATTTTTGCAATAAATAAAAAGATTTGCAAGGATCATGGTCAAGGACGTTTTCCTCAAGGCCTGCTGTGGGTGCTGGGCCATCTTACACCCTCAAATTTCCCACTACCAACTATCATAACCTGGCTGCCAAGTCACCTAGATCTTGTGCGCAAACTCTTTTGACCACCTAGGTCCTTTTTGCCTTAACTGACACCTAGGTCTGCTGGCGCAAGCTCTCTATTATGATATCATGATAGAACTTACAAGGCATGAAAAGGCATGTCAATACACCTGCCCTGATTGCAGTTTATACAGGTGACATTCAAAGCAGTACGCCTGTATTTGGGTGGTACATTGCATACTCAGCTTGTGGCATACCAAGAACTTCGAACCTCCCTAATATCGAACTGTTTTTAGGGAAAACTGCTATCGCATACCACCAAAACCTAGCCTTCTTGCTTGGATCTGGTGGTATATGTAATAGATATTCTTTTTGAAAACGCTTCGACACTACAAGTACTGTATCGTAATGTACTCATACTGCACTATGATGTGCCTCCCATCCTCGCCCGGGGGTCTGCCTTGCATTGAGAACTTCGAATCCCCCCCTATTGGATGACTTCCCCTAGACATCTAGAACAAATTTTCTGAATTTCAACCGCCTGCGTCTCGGCAAGGCATTTGACAAAAACTTACCCACCGGGATTATTTCGATATATATTGACTACGTACGCTGGATAACCCATCGGATTCGCAGGAATGACCACACTCCGGCTGTTATACGACCAATGAGTCCCGCCGTGCCAGTTCAGATCTAGGATGTGCGCCGTACAGTACCACTACTCGAAGGCCTTCACCGGGGTGTGTGGTAAGACACGCTTGTTCACAATGCAATTCGCTGGCGTAAGCACTACCAGGGGGGTAGTTAACATTGTACGTTACATAATAACAACCTAAGGATGAAAATAAAAAGTTTTTATTCCTGATTGTGCCTGGTTTGCTTTTATTTATTTATTTTCTCTCCTTTAATAGTGCACGTCTCCGGAGGAGCGTTTTCTCCAACATCAAATATCACTCGCCATTCGCTCGCTGACTGGGATGGGTCTAATTTTACTTCTCCAGTGGGACACCCTGCTGGGAAAGCACCCTACTTTACCAAGCGGAAATCCTTCCCGGTAGGATGGAACACTTACAGGTACGGGGATTAAGGTGGAATTGGTACAAAAGCATACTGGATAAGGGTGCATTATTCCTCAGTTTCTCTCTACTCCTTTTATCATGCCTTCTCTCATGAAAGTATAGTAAGGGCTCCGTCGTGATTCCCGGGTTGATTGGCGATGCCTGGCCAACCCTACTCACATGGACCGTGATACCACGATATCATGGGATAGGCTTTGAGCAGGGCAGGGAGATGAGGTGGGGAGATGTGTTGATATGTCCCAATATCCTCGGGGAACAGGGACCCTACCCGATCTCAATCGGACACTGGGCGGCTCGCTTAGGCTCATCCCTCTTTTTTGCACATTGCTCTATACCCCGCTAACTGGTATTAAGCAAATTAGTGCTTTGTTATGGCTCTGTAATACTCGAGCATAGACTTCGTGCATAAAAAATTCAAAGAGAAAAAAGGGTCCCAAAGTGAAACCGTAGAACTACAACCCAGAAATACAGAGCTATAGCTCTACTCGAGCAGCCCGAACCCCTTCCCCCACCGACAGTGCCCAGACCACAATCCCGAACTCGTGCCCGGGCAGAATAGCGTGTCGGGAAATACACTTCTTGGGCACAAACCACGGTCCTGGGGTAAAGTGCCGCCGAAAACACGCCAAATTCAACAAAATTTAACCCCAGCACAACCCCCAGCGATCGAAAAACCCCAATACCAGTTAATACCTAAACGCAAATAAGGATAGCCAGTAACCCGGGGGTTTGGTTTGTGTCTTCCTGTCTGCGGTTAGTTGTGGCTTGGCCATTCCACAAGCAAGAGAGGCTTAAGGTGTCCAAATATTTGTGCCAAGTCTTGAAATTTGTATGGGCACCCATAGAAAGTCTATGCCAGGACCTGATACCTGGAACTGATATGTAATAATCGATCCAGGTCGACATTGCATATCGCATTGTTGCAGAAACGGCCACTTTCGGTGCGAAAAGGGCGATTTGCCATCACCTTTGTCGGGGCACTGTGCATATCGACCCGCAATACGGCCAAGTTCAAACTCCCCAAGCTCAAAAACCGCAGCGCCTAAGTCCAGAAGCTTCTGTGAAAGTGGTTTTTATTATGTCAGGAAAACTTTAACCCTTCTCGAGAGCTCTCGTCCCTGGATCCGGAGATTGTGGATTTCAAGAGATTTTACAGTGACTTCTGGTAATAATCCTCTATTAGTCCTCGGTCATCTAGCGCTTGCCAGCAAAGCCGCCCTGTAGAACCCGATATGCTATACTTCATCCCCCGCCCTCAGCTCTACATCCTAGCGAACTACCTCCTCTATCAATAGTTGCCAATAAATGTGACCCCAAAAAAAAACCCACTCGCCCCACGAGTTTAGACGGGCTTCGCCTCGTTTAGCCCCTAACGGTGTAGG